AAGAAGTGACTTTGGTTATCCATAACTTGAGGACAAGTTATGGACACCATCATAGCCATTAAGATCATGAATTAAACACACATGGTGGTTACACATAATTCCTATGATCTTCTAAAAACTCATAAGAACACAAATTCATGTCAAGCAATTTCAAGAAATCATATAAACATATACAATACTTGAAAATTGATAAAAGTCATGTAAAATGGGTTAACATAATCATTATCATTTTGAAAAACAGATTTTACAAGTCCAAAACAGATTGGGATAATGATCTTAATCCATTTCCAGCAACAAAACTCGAAAAAACTGCCCAGCACGCTCCTACTCGCCGAGTGCACTATTCTACTCGGCGAGTAGAATGAATTTGTTCATGGACTCGGCGAGTCCTCCCCATGGACTCGGCGAGTTCAGCCGTCAGAGTGCAGAATTTTCGATTTTTAAGCAGTTTTGCATCAAGTATACAGAAAACAATCCTAGGCTTTGATACCACTGATGGGTTTTGAGCATTCTAACACTTCCTAAGTGTACATGCAACCCTAATAACCTTGAATCTATGTTTTCTCTATATACATGCAAATTTCTTTTTCAAGGTTATTTCCTAACTAGCATGGCATGGGGATTACATAAAACATAAAACTAGTAGAAATACATACCTTGTTGTTGCTTGGATTCCTTCAAGACTTTGTGAGCCTAGCACCCCAAATGTTGTGCCTCAAATGCTTCACACAACACCACAAGACTTGGAATAACTTGAGAGAATACTTCTAGCACTCAAAATTGGTTATGCCCTCTCTAGTAACACTAGGTCTACTAGGTCCACTTTTTGCTAGCCATAGGGTTCCTTTTATAGTGTTGTCACAATTAGGGTTTACACATGAATGCCCTTAATTGTCATGACTCTTGATTTCCCATGACCCATGGATTTGTAACTCCCATGGACTATCCATGGAGCTCCATATGGTTACATCCATAACCCATAAAACCATGGATCATTAATCCACCATAAAAGAATTGATGATTGTCATAATCAACCCTATATATTTAATTAGTCTCACTTTGATCACCAAATTAATACTAGATTAATACTTGATCAATACTAATTAAATAATACTATTATTAATATATTAGAACTTATAATATATTAATAATCATAAGTACCTTATTCTCTCATTTAGTCTATCCAAGTATTGCAATGCCATGCAACCCAAATGGACCATGCCGGGTCGGGTCAAGTACATACCAAATAAAGTTATGGACTTAGACACTATATCCAACATTAACTTCCTGAATAACTAGGTTATTCAAACCATCCACAGTCGATCATACTTTGGAAGTAGGTATTGAGGCAAGATTTTCATTAATGGGTCTGTAGTTTTGTCTAAGTGTGTTAGACATAGCTGGAGTATTCATGAGTACTCGTGGAATAAGATTCGAGTATTGGATTCAACCCACGCTCATCTGAATCACTTCATGGATTTTATCACGCGTGATTGTGAGACGATATTATCTTATATTCTTAAAACCAAGACATGTGAGTTGTAATTTACAAGTCGGTTGGACATTGACATATGTAAACGCACCAGTAACTTGGTGTTATAAAACATATCGTTGTGTGTGATTTGGTGAGTAAGTACAAGCAAGCATTTGAATCGAAGTTTATCCATTCCTTTTACCCTTGGAGGGATAAAAGCGACATATGTGGGGCCCCTCGATGATTTAGTGATGACAACCCTAAGCGCTCGATCAAGCCTGGACTGATTTGATTTGTTCAATTAGTTGGTCGTCATAAATCGGAAATCGGGAAATAACAGATGGACAGAGAGAATGATCATAATCCATGTCTCAGTCCATATGATATCTTGTAGAATGGAGGAATATATGATCCCTTATCTAATGGACGCGTCATTGACTAGATCAGAGTTCGACAGCGGCTTTTAAGAGCTACGATTGCTAGTCGGGTTATGGAGTCGTACTTGAAATAATAGTTACTAGACTTATCCAAGTGGGAGACTGTTGGATTAGGTGTCTAAGCCCATAACTATAATTGGTATGTACTGGACCCGAGAGTAGCATGGTCCATTTGGGTTGCATATCATCAGGACAATTTGTTAGGATGGACTTTTGAGAATAGGTTATTTATGATTTATTAATATATTATAAGTTCTATTATATTAATATGAAATCATATGATTTAATTAGTATTGATCAAGAATTGGTTTGGAATTAATTTAGTGATCCAAAGAGACTAATTAAATCAATGGGGACTAATTGTGTAAATTAGTTATATTTATATGTTGGGCTCATGATCCATGTTAGACTAAGTTTATGTATGGATACATAAAGAGTTGGGCCACATGAACCATGGATCATAAAACCATGGGTATGGATTAGGGTTAACCCATGACCCTTGGAATCCCACATATAAATATGTGACTCCATAGCCAAAATTGATGACTACGAGTTCTTGGAGTTCATGGACGATTTTGGGTTCAAGATTCTCTCAAAATGTCATCCTTTGTCCTAGATGTGTTGTGATTCCATTTGAGGCATTCACACGCTAAGTTCTTAAAGGCCAAATACTACAAGTTCTACAAGCTACACAAAGAGGTAAACTCCTAACTAGTATTTTATGTTGTTTATGTCATCTGTATGCTAGTTGTAGGTTTAAAGCTTTGGAAACAATATTGCATGTATAATTAGAGAAAACATAGATCCAAAGCTTTTAGGGTTGTATGTGCACCATAGGATGTTGTAGTATACTAAAACCCATCAGAATCATCATGAGGGTAAGAACTTTATACCTTCTGGAGGATGATAATGTGGTGCAAGATCCAGATCCACAGTTCTTTCTTCAAAACTACACACACAACACTCTAATATCACAACACTCATACAAAATGGTTATGGTTTCGAGGTGGCTGTTTAAGGGGATGAAGGTTGAGCATCAAGAGGGCCTCAAGGGGTTAAAGCCTTTAAATAAGGCTCACAGCCCCAAGAATTAGGGTTTTTGTTTTAGGCTCCTACGCCCTACGTAACTCGATCTACGCCCTACGTAGATAATTTAAGTCTTGTGGCCAACTTCCCTCCTACGCGCTGCGTAGGAGACTACCCTACGCCCCGCGTAGGACCAAATTTTATCAGTGGTCCACCCAACGTCGTCGGTAGCCACATGTGGCAACCTCTTCACAATCCGTCTGAATCCTCCATATCTGCCACCGAGCCGACCATATTCGCTACAACCACCACCAGTCAAACCACTAGGTGGTATGATCCAAATAGTATCAAGTACTTGGGAATACTCAGGGAGTACTCGGATTTGGTAATTCATGTAGAAATATTTTTAGGGAAATTATATATGTCAAAATCAAAATTTTATTGAAATATATAACAAAATTAGATACACGTGAATACATAAAAACTAAAATACACATGGTGATCTAACTATATGAATAATTACTGAAAATTTAAGATATATATGTAGTAACATGGGATTGGGGATGGTTCGACAGTGGTGGTGGTGATCGAGTGATGGTGGTGGTGGTGGTGGTGTCTAAAATATGTTATTTTCCAAATATTTAAAATAAATTAGGAGATGTGGGGTAGGTGATATTTTTTGGGATATTTATTGAAAATAATAAAGAAAACAATTAAAATTAAATTAAAAAACTAAAAAATTAAATAAAAATTAAGTAAAAAATTATAATATAATAAAATAATATTTATTAATATATAAATAGTATATTATAAAATTAATATTTATTAATATATAATAATTCAACAAAAAAAAACTAATCCAATATAAAAATTAAATAAAAGAATTAATAATCCAATAAAGTAATACTTATTAATATATAAATATAACATATTAAAAATAATATTTATTAATATATACTAATCCAATAAAAAAATAATACATTAAGATAGAAACTAAACAAGAAAAAAAATTAATTAAAATAATTAATGTATAATAATTCAATAAAATGAAAAATAAATTGCATAAATGTTCCTTGTAGTTTGGTAAAACGATATAATTACAAAATGTCATTTTCAAAAAGTTACTAGTCAAGTTTTAAACTTGGACCTCGCTAAGGGCGCAGCCCCTAGACCTCGCCAAGGAGTTGCAGCTCCTTGGAACCTTGTGTACTCAGGGGTGCTGTCCCTGGACCCCCGTATTTCCGAGTTCACATTTATCACACCGAGTGTACACCTCGCACCTCCAAGCTCAGTTAGTAAATGGTGTTCGGCGTATCTCATTATTAACAATAATTACACCAAAATATGTTGATAACACTAAATCTGCACATACTTCAACCTCGGCAACACTAAATCATTCGCCCCTCCGCCCCTAGTAAAACTAATCAAAAGCTATAAACTATAACTTTTAAAGGGTAAAAATAATTAAAAACTAAAAGCTTCTTAATTCTATTTGAATTAGTTTTTTTATTCGAGTTTTTTGTTTAATTAAACGTACAAATAAAATTTGTTTAAATTTTTTATAAAACTTAAAATTCTTGTAACCACATTGTCAAACAAGCCAATTTTAGCCGGTTAAACAAAATGAACACATTAAAACAGTAAATAACTACTCCATCCGTCTCAAAATTATAGTTCATCTTTCCTTTTTGGTTTGTCCTAAAATAATAGCTCACTTCTAAAGATAAATAACATTTTTATCAAAATACTCCCTCATTATTACTTAACCAACTAAGCATTTATAAATTAAGGACAAAACTGTCATTTTATTATATAAAGTTAGTGGTAATTAATGTTTCCTTAATCTGTTTGTTTTTTGTCTGTGGACAATAATTTTAGGACGGAGAGAATATTTGGGTAGATAGATCGGTTGAATTAACATCATTCTTTTAATTATTTTTTGAAATGATTACAAATCCAATATAATTACGATAACGACAACTTTTTATAATAAAACGATACGAAAATGTTACATTTATAGAAATACATTATGAGCGTTTTTCAACCAGTTAACAACTCAAACCGCGTTTTTCAACCCTTTTAACAACTCAAACCTACCACTTCAAAGGTAAATTGTCAAATATTATTAATCATAATACAAAAAATAAAAACCCGTATAATTTTATTTATGCAATTTCCACCAAAAAGTAAAAGAATTTATAAAAATAAAAGAAATAAAAATAATACATATATATGTACAAGTATTCCAATAAATGCATAAAATGTCTATTTTTCAACCATCTATGGACTATTTGTACTGTAACTATTGCTCCGGCCATGCTTCCGGCCGGCATACATATCTATCACTTGATATCGTCGTTTTCCAACATCCAAAGCACCTGTTTCCCAAAAAAATCAAAATCAGTACAAAATCATCTTATAAAAACAGCTGGTGTAGCTAGACCGGGGTTCTAGGTTCAAACCTGAGACATCCGAGGTCTCGCATGTGGGTCCCGCCTGATACACAACGAGGCACAATGTGCCATGCATCGAACCTCTGCCTCCAAATATCCGTCTTTAAGCCGTGGATCTATCAATTCACCAATGGCAGCCTCCTCAAGCAATGGTCGTGCCTGTAAAAAAAAAGTTGGTTCATATCAACGGATTTTCGTCCGGAATGGAAAGTAAACATGCTATGGAATGGAATCTCGAATTCCGTCGGAATCCACGAACCAAACATGCCTAAAGTGTTCCAAAACACATACCCATTCGGTAAGATATTGTTGGCCTTTAGGTCGGTTTATATCGACAGCTTTTCGTCCAGTAATGAGCTCAACCAACACCACCCCGAATGAATACACATCGGCCTTTTCGGTAATTTCACCACTCTGAGCATATTCTGGAGCCAAGTACCTAGAAAAACAAAAAACATGTTAATAAACGATTGTCCATAAAAAAAAGCCATATTTTGTTGAAAATTGAGCCTAATCTAAGCCGTGTTCCTTTTTTTTTTTTAATTAAATGTTGTTTGGATAGATAATGTTTAAAAAACATGTGAGAAAAATAAACAAGGACAAAATTTGAATTTCTCTATTAACTCGTTCTTTAAAATTTATATACCCGAATGTTCCAATTACTCTTGTTTCCACTCCCGTTTCTCCATCCGGTTGCCACCTCGCAAGTCCAAAATCTCCAACCTAAATTCAAACCCAAATCTCGTTAAGTGTTGACTTCAAAAGTCAAACTGTATGTATTTTTTTCTCGAAAATTTATACATACCAAAGCTTCAAAATCATGAGTTAGGAGAATGTTGTTTGGACGCATGTCACGATGAACAATACACCCCACCCGACATTCTTCATGAAGGTATCTTAACCCTCGGGCAGCCCCAACAGCAATCTTTTGTCGGGCAGACCATTCCAACAGCCCGTGATTGTGCCCTGCAAAAATTGACATCAATCTCATTTCGTTACAAAGGACATGACATTATCGGGATTTTGAGGGCATTTACGTCTTTTCCACAGACCAGACACCTTTTTTGGGTGTACAATTTTTCTTTACCCATTGACATCAGTTTCAGTCTGTCCTGTCCTGTTTGTCCTGTCTTACTTTAATTTACGAAACACGTGCTAGATTTGTACCGTAAAGATGAGAATCCAAAGACCCGTAGCAAATATATTCATAAACAAGTAACCGTCTTCCATCCTCCACACAATACCCAATTAACATCACAACATTTCGATGTTGTGCACAGCTTAAAACCTCAACTTCTGAGAAAAACTCATTATCACCTTGAGAACTAGCAATCTTATGTTGTTTAACTGCAACCATTCGACCATCTTTCAGCACCCCTCGGTGCACTGATCCAAACCCACCTTCTGCCAAAAAATTAGCCTCTGAAAATCCATCTGTAGCCTCTTCAAGCTCCCCAAATCCAAACCATTTTGGAGGTTTTCCAAAAACAGGAGCTTTATGCTGACAAATCGAACAAAGTGGAGGTGATTTTGGGGACACGTGTCTCGTTAACGGGATCATGTTCTTCACATTCTTGGTTGCCTTTTCGGGTCGGTTATCGATTTCAAAGAATTTCAAACGGAGTGCATTCGTGATTGGATTTATCAAAGGTTTCACGTTTAAATGTTTGAAACTTTTTTCAATTGAGAATTCATCCGATGAACATAAGCTTGTGGACGGGGAGGAACTCGGGTTCTCGGAGTCGGAATCGGAATCGGAATCGTGAATTCCGTCTTTTTTCGTGTCCCAATCGTGATCGGAAACGAGAAACGGGGAGAATCCAAGGTCGGAGCTTGATAACGAGGGAGTTCCGTGTTCGGTTGTGGTGAATGATAGATGTTCGGGACTGCTTACTGGGGTTACGTTTGGGACTTTAGTTGTGTTCCAAGTACTTTCGTCTTCTTTGGAAGAATCCGGGGGTGGTTCTTGACAAGTTGTTAAAACTTCAGGGTCTTTTGTTGGTGATCCGACTAAATTCAAGCGAAGTACTTTTGGACGTGCCTTTTTCATTACAACCACGTTGCATTCTAGCTCCTCGATGCATGCTTTTGCCTCTTTCTTCAGATTCCTGTTGATAAAAATCATCAAAAAAGTATGAGGGCATTTACGTCTTTTACACATACACGGGTCCAAAGATCATGGGCGAATCTCCGTTCTACCTTTTTGGGTGGGACAAAAATTTGCATATTCGTACTTTCTATTTTTTTTTTCTAATTATATTTTGAGAATCTACCCAATTATAGCAGAGAAAATTGCTTTGTATTTTGATGACATTGCTATAATTGAGTAGATTTTTCAAAGTACAATGTCTTAATTGGAAGAAATGAAAGTAGGATGATATAAGAAACAGGTCAATGAAAGTTTTTTTTTTCTATTTCTTGCGTTTAACTTTTTTGAGGTTTTTTTGTAATTTAGTATGTTGCTTACTTATCCAAAACCACCCACTGTGTTCGGGTTTTCTTTGCTTCAGCAGCTACAACTCCACATGGGGTGCCAGAAATGACTTTGATCTTCATCTTTATCTATTAAGAACCATCAAAAAATCTTTTAAAAGTTGGTAATGATAGTTAATAGCATTTTGTTTGTTAGATAAAGTTAGTTGGAAAGATTCTGTGTCAAAACAAAACAAAAAAAAAAAACTACGCATGAGAAATATTTCGTATTTGAATCACATTCTACAATTGGTAGTTTTTCAAAATATAATACTAATAATAATAATAAACAATGAAAGTACATTACTACAACTTGTATTTAACACGATTTTTGAAAAGAGCAAGAAAACACAGAATAACAAGACTGACCTTATCTGAATCGTAGATATTATGGAGTTGAAACATCATTTGAGAGCACGATTCCGTGATGTCATCCTTCTGATCCCTAACATCGCCCGAAAGATGTTTCCATTGCCCAGTGGTGCAATCACTGTTGAATTTTGAGAAATTCCATAACTTGTGACCTGAAAGAACGAAACCCAGTTCATGATCAAGAAAAAACGCCATCGATTTGTTATTTTGGTCTGGAAATCAAATCAAAAGTCAAACTGATGTTTTCGCAAGAACAAAGAGAACTAATGAAGCCTAATTTAAAACCCTAAAAAGTCAAACTGACAATTTTGCAAGATCAGAGAGAAGTCGTGAACCCTAAATTGAAGAAAAAACAGATAGAGCATAAAAATAGGGTTTAACGGATTACTTGAAGTGTGAGCAGGGATGACCACAAGCAACTTAGCACAATCCCCAGGTTGAACGACATGTGTTAAAGCCCAAATAAAAGCACTTTTTGGAATCTCTCTTGATGCTTTCACAGCAATAAGCACAACTCTTTCTCCTGTTGGATCTCTAACTGTTCCACTCTTTTGTCTCTTCATCATTTTTTTTCAAGAAAACAAGGAATGGATCCACAACTAGCTAAGATTTTCACTGTGAGTGCCCAAAAACAGCAAGAATTGCTAAAAAGAAGAACCCTAAATTCCCGATTTCCTTATTTGTTCAAATCATTGAACACCCACCAACAACTTTCGCTTTGTTGTGTGCTGAAACAAGAAAATGTGGCGACTCTTTTACCCAAATCGGAGCCGAAAAGGTATCTTGAGAGTACTTTGGGTCAAGATTTTACAAAATGCAGGATCGAATATCGAAGAAACTCAACTAATTTCAAATCATCGAACACCCACCAGCAGATTCCATATTCTTGTGTTCTAAAACAAGAAAAATGTGGTAACCTTTTCGAAATTCAGTGCCCAAAAGGTCTCTTGAGAGTACTTTTGGTCGAGATTTCACTATAAATGCATGATGGAAAGTGAATAAATTACTAAAAAAGAAAGAACCCCAATTACCGATATCTTCAAATCACCAAACACCCAACAACAGTTTCAAGTTTTATGTTTTAACAAACAAGAAAATGTGAAACTTTTTTTTTTGCATATCAGAGCCCAAAAAGGCAGAGTACTTTTGGTCAGGATTTCACAAAAAATGCATGATGGAAAGAGAAAGAAAACAAAGTAGGGTGTAGAAAGCCTGCAAAGGCAATCGGATCACACTATTTGGACAATAAGGTTAATTTTCTGTGTAAAGAAAAACAAAAAAGAACAGCCAAACGGAAAAAGAAGGGATCGGAAAATGGAAGTGAAGCGAGCAAAAAAAACAAAACCTCGAAGGCGCATGATGCTTAAAGTAATGACAAGGGTGTCCCACGTCTCTGAATAATACCAAAATTATTGAGTCAATGATGGATATAATTGGAATTTAGAAGTTAGAACTCTCTATTGATTACTATAGTTTATTATGAAGTGTTTAAGACACATTTAATGAACCTCATTCTCTAGAACAAGAGGCAGGAGATTGCTTTGAATCTTGGATACTCGCAGGTGCCCATAAGTTGTTTAAGATAATAAATGATTTTAAACATTGCTCTAAATCAGGAGCAATGTTTGGCCCCATGAAATTAATTGAGAGTTTGGTATGTATATTTTACTCCATGTATATGATTTTAAAGTAAATAAATGAAGGTGTGAATTTGTTGATAATAAAAAAGAATGATGTAGACAGAATTAAATGTGTCTTAAACAAGCCTACCCAAATTTAATAAATGATTTAAACAAGCCATCCAATATAAAAATATCAAATGAGGCATTTTAATTTTGAATTTGATGTGATATAGACAGAATCTTTTGACATCCAAAAGATTTTGATAACTCGAAAAAATAACCACTAGGTTAAATATTATCATATTTGATTCGATTTGATTTCAATTAAAACAATTTTGGAGTTTTAAAATGCAAAAAATCTTACGGTCATATAGTCAAAAACATTTTAAGCTTCAAATAAGTAAATAAGCAAGGCAACATCAATTAGAAATCAAAATATAGTTCAAGATTACTACAAAAACTATGGCCTTTGAAAATGTATTTTCTATCTTTTACCCAAAAGTCATCTATAGTCTTCGGTATGTGCATGTGTCAAACTATAGTTTGACAATGAAATGTTAAGAATATCCTATGTGGATTCATTTAAAGTAATGATGATGGTAATTGAGACCAACCCCAAAAATCAATTTAAATAAACAAACAAATTATCATTCTATTTCATTCATTTTGATTACAATACAACTTAGGTATTTTGTTGATTCTAATTTCTCACTAAAGTTACAATTTCATATAAGTATTTTAAAATACTCTTTCCACAATCCAAAACACATTATACATTATGAATATATAATTAATTTGTCAAACAAAATCCTTATTTGAGTTCGGGCTCACTTCAAACATCATTTTATTACATTTTAATTGTAATTCACCATCAGAATTGCTTAATGGAACTATATAATCATAATTAGCATCATCATATAACCAACGAGGAGGGTATGTTAAGGTTTGGTGGGTCATTTGACCCACCTTTTTTTTCTATATAACAAGGTATGTACAATAAAAATTGGTGACCTATCTTAAATGATTTTAGTGAACTACCCTATCTTAGTATTTTAGAAAAAAAAAAAAAAGGAGACAGAGAGAGGATGCTACATTATAGTCAAGATGACAAGATTGTCGACACCCTCATTTTGGATTTTTTTAGGTGACACAACAAGAAAAAATGCAATTAGCGGCGACAAAAGTCGCCAGTAAAGGTAATAGCGGCGACACGTCGCCGGTAAAAAGTTGTCGCTACTGCTCTGTCGTTATTGATCAAAATGTCGCCGGCAATTGTCCCTGCTAATGCTCATGTCGCCGGTAATAGTTTCTCCGGTAATAACATTTTTCATTTTTTTTAATCAACGATTTTGGGTATAAAAAAACCGATACATAACAACATTAAATGCAGAAAAAAATTACATAATAGCATCCGATTAAATACCAAATACTGTTATAATTAATTTTATACCAAAATAAACAACCAAAGTTGTACAATTCTAACAAGTAGCAAAGTGTCACGACAAGTGTAACATACAAAACACAAATTAATTAAATTAATTATCTGACGAACCATCATCTCCGTTCCCATCGTTTCCTCATTGATCTTTCCCCGATTGAAAAAACGCATAAAGTTCATTCCTACATGCCGACGACACCAATAGCGGCGACACTTACCTTTAGCGGCGACATATCAATATGTCGCCGCTAAAGATAAGTGTCGCCGGTAATGACCATATTCCTTGTATTCATGATTATATGAAAATTTTCATATGGACACCTATAAAAAGCAATAAGGACACCCGTGGTGAACAAAAAAGAAACAAATGTTCATTAACAAAATTTCTATATGGTTACCGACATTTTAGGAGGATACGGTCAGTGGCGAGGCTACATATATCAAAGGTGGGTCACTTGACCCACCTATTTTTTTATTTTTATAAAAGGTTATATAAAAATATAAATTGTGAACTACCTTAAATATTTTAAGTGAACCACCTTAATGCTTTTGGCAAAAACAAATATGTATAAATCAAGATTTTCAAAGCCTATCTTTGATTTTTTTATTGGTTTCCTTTGAATAGTGAACCATGTGGTTTTACGTTCTAAACTCGCCACTGGATACGGTGGATGACAAAAAAACCTTTTCTACAAATATCATACAAATAATGTTAATCTTTCAAAATTACATAATATAAAATAAAATAATATCATAGATAGGGAAGAATAAAAGAAGATTGAAAAATGAAAAAACCCCAAAAACAAAATTTACAAAAAAATTTAGGTCACCCAAAGATGTTCGCCGTCCTCAACATTTGTCTGTCGGTGCTAAGCTTTGAAGTAGTATCACTTAGGTCGGCCTATCTCCGCCTATTTCCATCGATTATTTGTTGTCTCTGGTTGCTTCAACGGTTTCGTCCACCTTCACCCACCTCCGTCGATTCTTTGTGAATTTATGTTGACCGGAGATCAATCGGACGCCTACTTCTCCACTTTGTCCGATGGCTAGCCTCCTTTATCTCCATGTATGAGGTTTCACTTTTTACTTTGTCATCTAGAAATAATGTATCCAAATAATTATAAAGCACAACACGTCAATGTCTAGTAGTCTAGTATAGAAAATATAAAGTATAATAGATATACTAAGCACCATTTTGAATATAACTAGACTAGAAGCAAAGTATTTTATCTTTTGAGGATAATGTAATCGATTTTACTCATTTTAGTTGGATGTTTTTTTTTTTGTTTTCAATCTTTCCAACTTTTTTTAAATGATTGGTAATTTTTTTAGGTTATAATTATATACCATATACAACTTTGATCAAAGATTTTAGAATAGTCCCAATAATTTATTTGTTTATTAATTACTAAATCTTCATTTGTTTATTGTTTTTATGATGTTTATTTTTTATTTCTAATGTTAAAGTTAATAATTTAATATTATATTTGTCTTATATAGTATTCTTGACAACATGATTTGAAATTATATTTTTTTGACTTTAAATCCTGGATTCGCCGCTACAAAAAAAATATAGATTCGCCGCTGCAAAAAAAAATATGTATAAATCTAGTTTTTACACTTTATATTTTAATAGTCCAATCTAATAGTGAACCATGTGGTTTTACGTTCTAGACTTGTCACTGCATATTACTAGGGAAATCATATAGTTTATAAGCTCGTATAGAAGTCATTATTGTCAATGCACAACTCAAATAATGAGTTAGGGACAGAAACACTTAATTCCATCAATAAATATGAAATTTGACATTCATTGATTAAATGGAATCTACATGATTATGTAGAGAGGATTCTTATCGGTAAAAATCCATCCAAATCATTGTTTGATGGTTAATCTCATATTTAAAGGAAACTAGGGTTAGAAACCCTAAAAACCTAAAACAACCATCTTTATAAACTAAAGTATCACTTTTTGCATTATCAAACAAAAACTGAAATCATTGTTTATATAATGCATGAAATGAAATACATTCTTAGACATCTGACAATGTCATATTTATACATTATTTTAATACATTTGAGTTATATTTTGGTTGAATATAAAGATATTTTGTACTTATATAGTTTAAATTCTTTTTTGTAGCCAAAATGGAACCGAAGAAAGTTGGAAGCTTGGAGGTTGGAGCGTACATTAAGAGGAAAAAAGAGAAGAAAATCGAGCATAATGAAGTTTCCACGTCGTGAACAATTACATACCACGACGTGGCGATTGGAATCTTCTCAAATTCATGCATGAAGACTTTCCCACATCGTGAACATCTATGTCTCACAACGTGGCGATGTGTCAATTATAAAACCTTCTCTAGACCTGCATGGAAACTTTGGCACATACGAGATTAATATGTTTCTCACGACGTGGAATTCATATTGCCACAACATAGAGACCAATTTTAGGCAACTATAAATTACAGAAGTAGGTCGAAATCAGAGAGCAATTATGGAGAGCTGTAATTATAAGGCGACAATAACCCTTCTAAGAACCTTTGGAAGGCAGAATACGATTAGATCAAGAGTTAGAGAGATTAGAGCAAGAACTAAACATCAATCTTTCGGTTTACCTAGATTTAATCATGTTTAATCTAGTCTACTACTTGATTATGTGTTTTACTTCAGTCAATGGCGGATCCACTATAGATCCCGGGGTATCCCGTGATACCCCTCAAAAAGAAATTTAGTAGTGTTAATTTTTTCGGAAAAAATGCGTTTTATGTTGCGGTTTTATATCAGAAAAAAATTTGGGCTACCCTAAAAAAATTTCAGGTTATTTGTAAATGGTCCAAAATACAAACTAGCACAAATGGTCCAAATTTTTTAAGCCCGCACCCATTAGTTTATTGAAACAAAGAGGTATTAAGTCCAATTAGTTTAATGAAAAAAATTGGACGTATACTCCTAATCCTTCTGTGATCTTCCGTCATCGACTTCTCAGTTGTCGAATCGTATTATGTTTTATCGACTCATCCTATCGTCGACGTCATGTCTTTATCGAAGCCCTGAATCGTCTTCACAATTGCCGCAATCGTCGACTTCTCAATTCCGACGACCTCCTCCTCAGTTCCTCCATCACAATGAAACAAGTTAGTATAAAAAAAAATATTCAATCCTATTATGTATTTAGGTTAATTCAAATTCCAATTTTTTGTCATTATGTTTGAAAAACTAGAAATTACCAATTAACTTTGTTAAATTAGTGACTTAGGGTTAATACTTAATGATTATTTGTTGTTGAAACTTGAAATCAAGTTATAGTTGATATACTTTGATTGTAGGTTCCTATCATCTATTTGTTCATTTGTTGTTGAAACTTGGAAACAAGTTTGTTGTTGATATATCTTGATAAATGATAAT